AATCTCACAAGTTGGAGATACTGTGATGGTGGCCTGGACCGGCGCCAGTGTCGCCAACAGCGCCGAGATGAGCCACATGAGCAGACTGTTGATGGTGGCGTACGCGATCGTGTGGTCTTGCGTCCAGACGAGCGAAATGTCGTTGACGATGCCGACAAGCCACGTGACTTCATTGGCTGCGAGACACGTCGTCAAAAGCGGGACGGGTGTCGTGACAAAGTAGCTGAAGACGCCGTCAGTTTGAAGCTCAATGGAGGCTGTCGAGAGAAGACAGAGAGCCGTGATACTCCGGACCACGACCAATGGTCGACCGATCCAGACGATGCCGCCGACGCGACTCATTTCAAACATGTTGAGACCCTGGATGTGACCTCTTGAGAGTAAAATGTACACAAACGTGACGGCTGCGAGCATGATCATGACGAAGGTGACGTAGCGGATGGCTTGGAGTGCGTAGAGAGCAAAGACAGTTGGCAGCTGCGCATTGTCGACAGTTTGCAATAACTGAGGTAGAGTGTCGCCCATGACGGTTAGGGAACCGAGATCGCCTTGGAACGAGATGACTTCGCGGTTGCCGATCGCCCAATCATACAAGAAGAGCCACGCAAAGTAGTCAAAAGTGGGGTCCGATGGGTCAAGCACTGGAAGGTGGTAGAGTTCAATGGGTGCAGTCTCGTTGACCATACCAAACTGGACCCACTCAATGTTGAGGGCATGGATCGCAGAGATCAGCGACACGCGCGCGTCAGGTAGCACTGGAAGCAGGTCCATAAAGGCCAATGCCGCGGTTAGTGTCCTCGAACATTTCGACCCGAAGTCAAGTTTATCGAGCTTGCAGATTGACGAGAGGCTGGTGGTCGTCGAGAGGTTAGCTACGTACACTGCAAACACATTTTGTGTGTGGGAGGGTACCAGCGTCCCCCCAGGCCGATAGAAAGAGCAGGTGCCATCAAACGCGTCCAATCCGAAGAGCGAAACAAAGCCGTTCAAACCGAGCACAGACTGGTCGGGACACAGAACCGAGCCGAGAAGAGCTCGTCGATCTTTCCACTTGTGTGGCTTTGCAGCCACTCCATCGGGCATCGCAGTTGCTTCATACTGCACTGGATTGAGAATCCGGACTTTCGTCACCGCCGTGCTGAAGCCAGATATCACCTCTTGCAAGATCGATGGCACGCTGACGTAGACCATGTCGATCGATCCAAATGGCCCAAGATACGACGACATCAGCTTATAGTTGGCACTCCACGGCCAAGGTGGTAACACCTTTTCGGTCACGAGAATATCTTGTAGTGAGGCATTTTGAAAAGCAAATCGACTGCTCGACCGGAGGAGACTCTTGCCACCCATGGACGTGGTGTTGGTGGCGAGATGGCCGAGATCGTTGGCCAGAGACCAGTACATTTTGAACGACGTCTGGCTCTCCAAACGGCGGTAGCCCGCGGTGGACTGCAGCAAGAAGGGATACGAGGCGCTGTACGCGTTGACAATATTGTACAAGTGGAGAAGACCGATCGACTTGTAGTTTTGCCACTGCAGCACGTACGACGAGATATTCTTTGATGTCCAATAAGACACTTCGTCGTCGATCGAGAGGTACGGAGG